TTGTAGACAGCCCTGCAGTTGGTGTAGTCGTTGTTGGGCGGGGGTGGGCACGAGCTGTGGATGCACGTAAAGTCTGGAGGCGTCTTGCAGGTGCACGTGACGCAGTTGGTGGGGTGTTTGATGTCCAGAACGTGACCGATGGGGTAGTAACGGCTCTCGAAGAAGCACATTTCGTCTGGAAGAAAGAAAGAAAGGAAATAAAAATATAACATATTTGAATATGGTTTTTTTTTTTTGAAGACAGAATTATAAAAGGGAAGCAGACACTTTATAAAAAAAATTAAGTCAAATGTTTTATTTTATTAGGTATAAAAATGCAAGTAGTATAGTTAAATAATTATTTTTGTGGCTTAAAATATTTTTATCGATGCTGTAAGAATTTTTATTCATCATGAATACTTAATAAGAAAAAGTTGTTTTAATGAATACTTTATGATTTTGTTATCTGATGGTATATTCTTAGGAATGTCTGCAAGACTGTAAGTTGTGTAGTGTGTGATGTGCAGGTTGGGCAACCGGATTGTAACTGGGTGTGATTGAGTTGAGATACTTGAGGCGCAAACATCATCACACACAAACACCATACACATACAATATTCAACACATTAAAAAGACCGATGATTATAGATTCGTGAAAGAACTCCACTTCTAAGCCGAAAATCCGAAGCATGGCCTACTCGCAGGGTGCGCGAAATATGCTTCGGCTCCGGAAGAGAGTCTTTAAGCGATCTAAATGCCTCCGAGGTGTGCTAAATACATTTCCTATCGGAAAGAGAGACTACAAATTAAGCGTTTCTCAGCGGGAGCGCTGGTTGTGCTATACATGCTCTCGGGTAAGAGTCTCAAGGCCTACTGACCATTTCTCCTGAACGCTAAAGAGGGTGCTTTTTTCAGTGTGTAGGAAGAAGCACAGTTTCAGGAGGAAAATTAAAAAAAAAGTTCAAAAAGTGTGTACGAATCGTGTGACAAAGATAAATCAGAATACAGCGTTAAAAATTAGGCTCGAACGAAATAGGAAAACTAAGATTACGTGTAAAGAAAAATTCATGACATTTTTTAATTCATTACAGAAGTTTCAAAAAAAATTTTTTTTAAGTATTAAATCTTACCTTCGTCATCATCTGATTTGAAACTTGCACCTCTATTTGGTTTGAAGTCGAAATCGTCATCGGCTGAAAAACATACATATTTTTAAATACATTTCAACTTCATAAGAAAAAAGCATTGTTTATTTTGGGATTTGAAAGTATGTATAAATATTAGGAAAACTTGAAGAAAACATAAAGTGTTTCAAAGGAATTGTTTAATAAAGATATTTTTACAGTATTAGCAAATATAAGCCCGCATTGCACGGCTTCAGAAAATAAAACATATAAACTCTTTTATTTAGATTCAATTATGTTCAAAGCAACATCTTCGCTTTCTTCAGCTCTAGTATGGACCATTCTCAACCTATTAGATTCATTCCTATTTTTTGAAATTTCTACATTTTCTATAGTTCTTCTCGCTGTTCTTCGTTTTAGTCAATTCTGTTCTGATTGAATAAATTTCTTTTCTGAGGTGGCATTGCAAAATAACAACCAGATTGAAGTTCAATAAACTGATTTTCTCACCCTCATGCTGGGACAGGCTAGGAACTTCTATCAATTTCAAATTTTGAATAGAGAATTCCGGTCAGTAGAAAGGGTCAAAATGTACAACAGAGTAAAAAATATCGTTAACCAGGGAAAATTTTCTAACCACGAAAAATCGCTAAATTGGCATATCTAATTTATCCCAAATTGGATCATTTTCAACGAATAGTGATTTAATTGCGAATTTTTATTTCAGTTTATCTAATGCTTTGTATTATCCCTGCCATATTTGGTGAAATTTGGATGTAAATTGAGACTGTGCATAGGGGGACACATGCACAAACTCTGAAATATATATACACAGTCCAGTCACATTAATGTGACCACCACCTACTTTCGACGTCAGCGTGAAATAACCAATCACAAAAGGCAGGTGCCAGCACATTGTAGTGGAGTGTTATATAAGGAATTCCACTTAATGCCCCATTCCACACTCCACTTAAAGCCAGAATATACAAGAGTGTATATTCTGGATTTTGACAGGTGCTCACATTAATGTGACTGGACTGTGTATATATAATGTCTAATGTTGATGTCTTCAAGATATATGAACAATTATTTTTAATTATTTATTTGATATGCATTACAAATACGTTTGTTGTTTTCATTTTTTAGAATTTTTATTTTTGAATGCAGAAGGTGTCTATTTACAAAAAGGAATTTATTTTTATAAAATAACGTTAGCGCAATTCACATATCATATAAGTAATATTAAACAGTGCCCTACAATTAGTAATTAACAGAGCTCTAATCCAAAGTTTATAAAGTCTATTTACAACCATTCTGTAATAAATATTAAAAAATTATATCAAACTATCGCCTTCATTATATAGATAGACTATGTACATATGGATACTTATGTGCATATATGGAGAAGCTACGTATAGCGTGATGGTAACGTTAAGTATCTAGAATTGGTGATAAGAGAAAAGAGTTAAAATTATTTGATTGAAGTGGCAATTTCACAGACAAGCTGAAAAATAAATTAAAAGGGCCTTTATACCTGTATTTATACCTATATATGTATATGTCTTTTACCTCAAGTGGAAAAAAAGAAAACTTTAAGCAAACGCATATTTCCTTCAAAAATTACTTATGAGATATCAAAGTTACACAAAATAATGAAACAAATTGTGCTAATAATATATTTACCACAGTGGTAGTCGATGGGACAGCAAGTCTTCTCATGGTAAATGGGAATGCATCCCTGCTTCAACTTCCTGGAGTCCCTCTCCAACATGCAGTCGTGCTGCCTGCAGCTGCTGCTGTTGATCCCTGTCCAGTTCTGGTTGCACAAGCAGATCAGACAAGGATCTTCTTCAGGATATATTTGCTCACCTTCGTAGTACATTTTACCTTTGTATTCACAAGCTGGAACTGTTGAAATAAAAACAAAAGATTACTTCAAATTATTTAACCAGGTAAGAAATTTATTTTAAATTTTTAAGAAGTTAAAGCTATGGCATTGAAAAGTTGAAAGAAGTTAAAGCTACGGCATGAAAAGAAAATACTGAAAAATTAAGGATGTAAAAGACTAAAATCATGTTAAAAAAAATTTAAATTTTATTGTGAAAGTTAAAAAAAAATAATAATCTAAATTTTAAAATAAATATTTCATTTTATAAAATATTGACACATTAAATTAACATACCTTGATACATATTATCTTTTTGAGCCGTGGCTGTAAAATAAAAATGTATATAATTTAGTAAAGTTTATCAGCATTTTACGAGATTCTAAACATTAAAAAAATCTTAAATATCACATTGTTCTTAATGATATTTATGTTTGCTTGCTTTCTAGTTCTAATTTATTTTTAATAACTGTTCGTGGATTATTAAATGCATATTTTACATAAGAATACACGAATTCAAAGTCATTTTCAGGATCGAATTCTATTTTATAAAAAATATTTTCACATAGGCGTTATTCCGTTCTTAAATACACAGTTGCTAAAATTCATTGCATTTCAATGATCATAATTTATTTCCTTAAAATATTCATACTTGGAATATTATATTCTTTGACCAAAAATTTCATTTATAATCATTTTATGTTTGTAGAATATCATACCTTCTAATAAGTTTTTAGCAACGATAAAGGAGCAATAAATGAAAATAAAAATTCTACAGATAAGAAAACTTGTGAAGGAAGAGCAGTTTATTAACATAATTTATATCATGGTAACTTAACAAATGCAAGACTTTTGTTTTATTTTTGAAATGTGTTAAATTTATAATTTACTAAGTTAAATTTCTTAGAAATTATATCAAATGCAATTCGCGGATCTTGGATTTATGAAATTTAAAAAATGTTTCTCATTTATTGTCTTTAAACTATATTCAAAATGTACTTTATATGAAATTTTTGATCAAAATGATAGCCGATTTGTCAATTCTTGTTTTGTGGAACTGCTATTTTCTGAAATATTAGGCTTAACGAACATCAAATATTACTTAAAATAAGAATGAAGCTATTGTGCTGCCATCTTTTGAAACACTTTTAATTAATTTGACATTATTCTATTTTCACTAAATTTTTTGTAAATAAATTTCGAAAAATAAAAAAAATTATTTTCTTTTTATTTTAATTAAGTTCACTGCAGTTTCTTCTCTTTTTTGTATTTTAAATTTTTAAAACCATTTTCGACATCACATTTTGCAATGTGCAATCAAATATTTTGGTGCTGCCATCTATTAGAAAAATAGTTTGAATAAAACAAAATGATTAAAACCTTATTTTTAAAAATGTAGAATTTTTTATAATACATTTTACAAGAGAATTATTTTAAATACATTTTTAAAAAGCTTTATGAAAATATTAACGTATGTCACGATTATTTAAGATTCGAATTATAGGTAATAATGATACAAATGATTCTTTGAATACATTCCTTTAATAATTCCTCGATAAGATTTTATTACAATTTTTTTTAAGAAATAAAGGCTTTGTAAATGAATAAAATATAGATACAAGGAATAGATATTTAGATATTGTGCATATTAAAAATTGATTGATATTTCTGTGATTTGTATTTCTTCTCTATGAACTAATAAAAATGACCCTATTTCTAAAATATATGTTGTTGTTGTTTCTTATCCCACTTGGCTGGCCAAGCCCACAAGCCCATATGGACTCATGATTGAAGGGGAAGGAAGTAGCTTCTGTTGCGATGGAGCACCCGTAGGTAGAAGCCTGACTTTTGCTCCGTGACGCTCTTACAGTCATAGAAGACCGGGACCTACGGCTTAAAGTGGATTCCGAACCACTACAAACATCCATGGCACCGCCGGGATTCGAACCCGAAACCTGTGGCACCGAGCGCCAGAGCGCTAGACACTCGGCCATTCAGGTCCCAAATTTGCCAACGGCACGCAGTGTTCCCAGGTGGTCACCCACCCAAGTACTGACCGCGCCCAATGATGCTTGACTTCGGTGATCTAACGACTAAAATATATAATAACGATATGCAATCAAATATTTTAGTGCTGCCATCTATTAGAAAAATAATTTGATAAAAACAAACTGATTAACTCATTATTTTCAAAAAAAGTAGAATTTTTTTTTACACAAATTTTGCAATGCTCCTTAAAAGTATCAGCTATTAAATTAAAAGCTATTAAATTATCTTGTTGGTAAATTAAGAATTATAAAACTTAGAATATTAAAATGGAAAAAATATGCTTTTTATAACTGGACATTCACTGTTTAAAAATACTAATATGCTTATAAAAATGTTAAAATTTTTAATTTAAATAATGTTTTTAAAAAATTTGTACTTACGACATTCAACGCTAATAGGACAACACTGATTTTCCTTATAAACGTAATGACATCCCTCAGGGAGTGGCGTCTGTGAATAGACGGCAGGGCATTCAGTTGTGGTGCAAGATATGGTAGCAGCCTGAGTGAAGTAGTCTGTGGCACAAGAGCACGTCTCACAAGGGTTGCTCGTTGGAATTTTGGAACCAATGGGATAAACATGCTTCTTGTATAAGCACACTAAAATAAATATAGAAAAATGCTTTCAGTATAATCGAAATTTATCCATCCAATTGTTAAATAACTCATAAAGAAACACGTACTTCTTATTTTATCAATAATAAAATTAATTTGATTCATTTCGATATTTAATTATGTATATACATAATATGTGTAACCGTGCTTCCTCCTATGCACTGCAAGAGCTCACCCGTGGAATTCAGGAGAAATGGTCAGCAGGCTCAAGACACGAGAGGAAGTACAGCGTAACAGACGCTACAGCTGAAAAACATTTACTACAGAGTAATCACGTATTTTTGTTGAGGCATGTTTAGTATGTAATCTCTCATTCAGAGAGAAAATATATTTATCACAAACCTGTGTTGGTCTACAGACTTTCACCTGGAGAGGAAGTATATTTTGCGCATCCAACGCGTACCTGAGGATCTTTATTTTCGGTTTATTCATGGAACTAATCTATAATTATATGTATTTAAGTGTGTTAAATATTGTTTATAGTTAATTGTACGTGTGTGCTGTTTATGTTTTTGTATTATACGTATGTGCTGTTTGTAGTTAATTGTACGTGTGTGCTGTTTAAATAAAGGTGTGAGTATTCAAACCTGTGTCTCAACCCCACCCCACCCAGTTTATAATCGAATAATGTAAAAATTGGCACAATAACTATAATTTTTTGGTAGAAAATTTTGACTGTTTGTTTAATGTTTATTTTATTATCAGATTAAAAAAATGCATTGTTTACTTTTACAACACTTCTTCCACCTTTTTTCATACACTTAATAAGACTTTTAAAAAATTCCACTAGTATTTCTTCCACATTTATGTTCATATGTAAAATCAAGAGAAAAGACACGCAACCAGGCAAGACAGAGTGAAGCGAATCCTTTCAATTTATCATTTTTAATTATATTAATTGAAAGGAGACAAATTCTAAACTAGTGCCTTAATGCAACTGATAGTTTTATATCGAAAATTCAAACAATCATGACCCCATATTTATATTATAATCAAAAATATGAACTAGACTAATTAATTAAAACTTATAATGTTCCTTTTATTTTCCTACACAATAAAATAAATAAATAATATATATATATATATATATATATATATATATATATGAAGGACCATCTCTGAAAATGAAAAGCATCTCTCATCTCGAAATCTGACAGTAGGTAGACGGCCTTGGCCCACACTGGGCTGTTGTGCCAATGATGATGATGATGATGATGATGATGATATATATATATATTAAATATTATAAATATAAAAAATATAAATATATAAATAACAAATTCCTTCAACACGACATTATTGCATAAGATATAAACCTTCCACTTTTATTTGAAAGAACGTTTTCACAACACTCGTATCGAAAATAGTATATAAATTCAAATGAAGGAAATTGATGGAAATGATAAAGAGAAAAAATGTAAAATATTTCTGAAAATTATTTTACAAAAGGGAGCAATAAGGTATATATATTTTTTTTTATCGAATAAACAAAAATAAAAGAAATATTTTAAAATTAGATAGAAGTTATTTTTTAATGAAGATCTTCTAATACAGAGAAGCATAAATTTAACAAAAATTGCTTCATAATTTCACAGCTTTCTAACAGCATTATATAGTACAACTCTAAAAACAAACAATAGAAATTTTTTTGTGAAAGGTCTATAAAGTTCGGATATAGTTGAATATCTTTAAAAAACAGGTAATATAAAAAATAAAAAAAAATTTAAGTCAATTCCTACTTTTTTTTGTATTATATTGCAGAAAAGTTATTTACAAATAAAGTTGAAATTTTGCTTTTACATCTAGCGCCATCTATTATTAGATACACGCAACTTAAATGTAAAAAAAAACTAAAACTAAATAGTTAAATTTAGTTACTGAATTAATATTTGAAAAAACTGTATTAACATCAAGTGTCATCCACTACAAGTTCAAAAAAAATGTATTTGAACTTGCGTGGATGAATAAAAAGTATTTTATTAACGATTGAAAATTTGAACAAGATATATATATAGGGAGAGTGTGAGCTAATAGAAGGAATTGAATAAACACATTTTATCGAAAAAGTACAATTCAAGTAAATATTTTTTTTAAATATGCTCAATAGAAATGAAAAAAATAAAATCATGATGTATTTCAACAATTATTTTTTTTAAAAAACGTTGTAAAAATAAATTTCTTTAGGTGTGAAATACGTCCATGTTTTATTGGGTTAGTTTTCTTAAGTCTTTATGCGGTCACATTAAATTAATATTTTTAATTTGGTCAACATTTACCTCTTTCATCTTCATGTATCTCGTCCGCTTGGGAACAGTCAAACCTCCATGGACAAGTGCAAGAAGGTTTATCGGTTTGTGGCTTTTCTTCGTACACTGGACGGCATCCTTTGGCTTCATAGTGCTTCAAATATCGCCACTCGCAGTCGCACTCAGGACCTTTCGAAAGCTGTTGTCCAGGATTCTGAGTTCCATAATCTGAAATAAATAAATAATGTATTCGTGAAAAGATTTTAGGAAATATCCGATTTATTCCACATATGGATCCAATAGCCATTAATAGGTGTTCATAAAAGAATTTTGTGTGCTGTAAAGTCGACCTGAGGTTATTCAATATTCATTCAGCAAAATTTGAGGTTGATTTGGCGATATACCGTGGTGTAAGTTACATCCATGGAATAACACCGATGGTAATAAAACAAAAAGACATTAAGTGAATTTACATCCATCATTTTAAGAGTCCCTAGGAATTGAACATATAACCTCTTTCTCTAAAGAACCATAACCCAACTTTCGTCTATGCTCTAATTGACTAAATAGTAGTTAAACTTAATGTATAATAATGCTACAATATTAAAGGCATAATATTGAGTCGTAATAAAATTTTAAAGATTTAACAGTAAAATTAGTAGTTAAACTAACTAACAGTTAATAAATTAACTAATTAGTAGTTAAACTTATTAATAGAATTAAAGTTTAACAGACGAATTAAATTAATTAAAGTTTAACAGAATTAAAGAAACAAGTTAAGCAGTATTTAAACTTAACTTTTAATAATGGTACAATATTAAGGGCATAATATTACATCCTTATAGTACAACTATTAAACATCATGAATTAATTATATTGAGGATTAATTTATCAAAAAAAAAAGATATTATTTTTCTCAGACATTCACAAAAAATGATTAACGATTCCATATATATATATATATATATATATATATATGCCATGAATTTTCTTTTGGTCAGTGCAAATTACTTATTTGTACGAAACATCATTCACATGAAATTCTGTATTTTTATATCTTAAATTTTAAAATTAAAGACTAGTTTATTAACAAAATCAGAGGAATCTTACTATTCTTACTATTTATTTTTTTCAAGTTTAAAAGATTGTTTAAAGTAAATTTAATTAATCTTAATCACCAGAAGAATTTAAAAAACCGTATTTAGTTCTTTCGTGTGGTTTCTTTTGTAGTACCACCAAATTAAATACTTAACTGCATTATTTTTTCTACTAAAAATATAACCAGAAAGTCACACAACCATAATGTAAAAAAAATCAAATTTTATCACAACAATACGAACATATTTTAATAACAATTTTTTAACAGAAACTTATATAATTTGCTTCAAAACATATTACCTGCTATTATATGCTATTCCAAAATATATCGTTAACCTCACATAATAAAATTACATCGATTTCATCAAAGCAATGAATTAATTTCATATCTGCATCAAGATGAGATATGCAATGTGTGCATATTATGGTCAATCTTCTATTCCAAACTAATCTCAGTCCGATAACATAACCCTTTACCCTTTATAGTCATTTCAAATTGCATGTCATTTCGATAGATATCGATAAAGAGATCTGAAAAGTAGTTCCCTGTTATATTTGGATGTGGCGCTTCCATTTTGTGAAATGGTCATCCAATAGTAAACAATGGGCCATAAATCCAGTTTGTAGGATATATGTAATATGATACTCTCTGCAAGATTTGATTTAGCCGTAAATTTCAAAATAAGATAAAAGAGAGTTGCAACTTGTTAATTTAAAAACAAAGGTTCAAAACAGCTAATTTTCACTTTGAATGCTGATTATAAAAGCATGATATATAATTGTTCATACATAGTAAACGATGGGCCATAAACTATGTTTGTAGGATATATATATATATATATATATAATATGATACTCTTTGCAAGATCTGATTTAGTCTTAAGTTTCAAAATAAAATAAAAGAGAGTTGCAACTTGTTAATTTAAAAACAAAGGTTCATAGCAACTAATTTTCAATGTGAATGCTGAGTATAATGGTATGATACATAATTCTTCATAAGCCATAAGTTATCATATATTAGTTCATCATAATATATAATTGTTCATTGATAAGTTAAGTTATTCATATATATATATATATATAAT